TGGGGGGGGCCGGGCCGGGCCCCGCCACCCTCCTCCCAGTGAGAGCGGCGAACCGCTACTTCACTGCGTTACCGTGACGTCAGGTTTTAACTTGGCGACGTCGGAATCGGGGGAAACGGCGCAGCGGCGCGCAGGCCCTCCGCGCCCACCCCGCTGCTGCGGGAGGAGCCGGGGCCCGTGCCTCACCTCGCTGTTTTGGCATGGAAGGGCTGGCGGGGGCGAGGGGGCGGTCTTCTGGCGTGACGTCGGGGCCCTGTGACGTCAGGCCGCGTGACGTCAGGCCGGCGTGGCCCAGGTTGCCTCTGCTGCAATGTGGGGAGTGTGGCTGTCCGTCGTGTTTCCCGCGGCCTCCAGCAGCCCAGCTTGAGCGGGGTTTTTCCACGAGCGAGCGTGGGCGCCTGCGGGGCCGGGGGTGCCGGGCACCGGGTGTCCGTTCTGGGGAGGTCTGTGCCCGGTCGTTTTTAGCTGACAGAGGAAGAAAAATCTTGTCATGTGCGGCTGATCCTGCGTCCTTCGTGAGCGACCCTGTGGGTGCCACGCGTCAGGCAGCCGCGGGACCGCGTCCACGGCCAAGCACCGCGTCCCGTCAGGCAGCCGCGCGCGGGCGAGATCGGCGCGGCCCTCCTGGAGATTGGCTCCTCCGCGTTGGTTTTTGAGCTGTGGGTGCAGCCGCTGCCCCGCGGAGCCTTGGCTGGTGCCGGCAGAGGGTGAGCCTTCCCGGCGGCCTCTCCCGTGCTGGGGCCACCGGCCACCTCTTGTCCAGACCCCGCTGTCTATTTTCACAAACTCCCCAGGAGTTAATGTCTTCAGGGCTCTGCCAAATGCGGCTCCCAGGTTTAAAGAGGGTCAGAGGGGGCTCACGGGGTGGTCACAGCAGCTTTATTTCTGCAAGACATCGCACTGCGAGTAGGAAGGCGTGCTCTGTGCAAACGCGATCCGTTTAGATCTATTTAGTGCGCGTTATTGCCAATTAGCTTTGTGTAAATGCCAAAATACGTTTCCACGTTGCGTGCCAGAAGTGGCAGTCAGTTAGGGCAGCCTGTGGTCTGTCAGGTGTGTCTCGGTTTTATTGCTTTGGTTTTCTCCAGGTATGAAATGATGTTATGAGCAGTGAATGTAAAGCCATATAACTTGCAACCTCTTGGGCCCCAGTTTTGCAGTGCCTTGTAAATGTGTGTAATTTTAAGTACTATCAGTACTTCCATTGACCTCAGTGGGACTACTTATAGTGCTCTGAGTTAAACACACATACAGTTTTTCAGGATAAGAGCCAAAGATGACTCACACGAGTGTATGCATCACGGATTTTTATCTTTCCACCACTATTTGTTGTTACAACTTATGGTTTAATAAAGGTTAAATATGTTGAGCTTAACTTCAGGTTCAGTTCCAAAATAGCCGGTTTCTATTCTGCACATTTCATCTTGCTTGGGCTTAATGCTTTCTTGAAGAATTGTGATGTTGGCACTGTTCATGCTTTATCCTTTTTGGATCCTTTATCAGCTCCAGCAGCTGTTTTGCATAAGTGTGATGGTTGAAGAATATGGATTTTGCAAATCATTTTATTTTTCCCAGCATTCAGCAGTGAGAGATCATTGTCTGCTTAGCAATAATGGCTTTTCCAAAAGCGAAATGTGACAAACAATTTCTAATAAATCAGACCTGGAAGAGTTTAATAGTAAAATTTAATGACCCATCACCAATGTTTTATACATTATGCAAGCTCAGTACAAATATAGTGGAAACTATATGCAATTACTGAAGATAATTATCTTATTCTTATGAGGGAAAACGTTGCTGAGTATTTCTTGTGTTAAATAATTGACTGAGGTTCCTAATGTCATTTTAGGAGGAGTGTCACAGGCACTTGGAAATCTAACAATTTAAATTTAATAATTTAAAATTACAATAACACAGGCAAAGTACAGGAGGTACTGGAGTTATTCCCTAATAAATCTAAAGCATTATTAGCTGGGAGGTTATTGTTTTGGAAGGCTGGAAGTTATTCTATGGATTTGATCCAGTAATGAAGAGGAGGGTTTGTCTTCACTGCAGAGCCATCCTCAGTTGTAACTGCATCAAATGCTGTGAAGTCAAGGCCCGGTGCATGCAAAAGCCATTAAGTGCAGTGGCATTTTTGACGGAAGGCAGCGGGGTCGTGGAGGGATGGATGTTGAAGATCTGTGACCACAGCACCTCACTTGCTAGCGCAAGCTGTGACAGACTCTCAAATGGCAACTCCGGCAATCCAAACGTCAGCGGTCCACAAACTACTAACAATCCACAGCCTGCCTTTAAGAAATCTGCACAAGGTTACCAAAATAAGCAGGTCAGTTGTCAGCAGCCTTCTGAAGGCTCTGAAACACACTGAAAATACTAAGGATCTAAAAAAAAAGAAGGTTAAACCCACTCCTTCAAACAGAAGAATAGTTGTTGATCAGCAGCAACCTTAGTATCGTTTTTTTTTCAGACCTGTGCAGTTGATGTGGCTGGGATGCTCTTCTCCAGAGGCAGCAGGACTCAGTAGCACTTTCCCTAAAGTGTAACTGGTGGGAAACAGGAACAAAAGAGGCCTTGGTACTGTTGTTAACCCTTTAGCTGTGGGAAAGTAGCTTCTTCAGCCCGGTGGTATAATTGAGTTCTCAGCGCTGGTCTCATCTTAAATGAACGGACAAGAGGCATGATAGAAAACAGAGTGGGGCCAATAAAAAAAAAAGGAGGCAGATGAAGGGATTGCTGTTTACAGAGGAACAAGCGGAGGGCCTGTTTTCCAGTTTCTCTTGGAGGATTCAGTGGATGAGTTGGTTAGTCAAGCTTGAAGGAGAGTTGGACACAGCTGTCTTCTTTGCCTTCTTTGTTAAACTGGTTTTGGCAATAGCCGCAACAGAAATGGGTCAGATAACAGTTCTCATCAGACGTCAAGTCTGGAATCTGGTTTGACCTTCGACAAATTAACTTTAACTGAAAAAAATTCCTAGTCTGGGTAGTATTATCAGCAAATTTTCCCGTTCTTGAATATGCTTAATTTTTCTCTGCTGAAAAGACAATTAGTACAAATCACCTGTATTTATTTGTATTACATTATTTTTCATAAGTGAATGGATTTCTTTCTGCTTTAGGCAGTGTTAAATAGTGATTCTGGAAGGATGAGAAGTGTCTGCATTATTTATTAAGAAAATGTATTCCTTTGTATTGTGATATTTATGAAATTCAACTTTACTAGCATGTGTTATTAGTAGAAGAAAAGATGATAAATTTGAAGTCACACAGTCAATGGGATGAAGTGAGATATTCTTTAAGATAACATTTTGGCTTCTGTACTCTGTTACTTGTTTTTTAGGGCTCTGGAGCAGTCTAGATGGAATCATAACTTCAGGGAATGCATATTTGATGAGAAATTTTCTTGAATCAGGCTTTCAAGAAAATTGATTACGGATTTTCTCTTATCGGTGTCATCTCGTTTTGTGTTGGTTGTATTCTGGCTTTTAAAAAAGGAAAATCTGTGTGTGCAAAGACCATAAAATTAAAGGCTATATCCTAATGTTTTAAAATATCTTTTGTGCACATTAATTTGAAGAGTGTGAATTCTGTCGCTAGACAAAACAGCTTTTCAAATCGCTGTGAAATATGGGGCAACATTTGGGTAGAGAAGATGATAAACAAGAGGGGACTGCTGAGATGTAGCAGCATAAAGTAAAAGATTTTCAACAGGAGCTTATTGTAAAACAAGACAAAAAGGGGCAGAGTTAGAAAATACAGCAGCAGCAAGAGAGATTGCAAAAAAGGAAGTATGTTTAGACATCGGTGTCCTGATATTCAGAAAGGGCCTTCCTCTCTGTGGCTGTAGATAACTGCCAAGAGAATTTTCCCAAAGCAAGAAACTATAAGCATATTTTGTAGTGTTTAGCCATCTAACACCGATTGTGCCTCTAAAATCAAGTAAGTAGATGTATAAATGCTAAAAATCAGATGTGTGTGTGCTTTGGTTTTTCTCTAGATGCTAAATGAAAGACTGGCTTTAGAAAACTAGGGCTTAAAAGCACTTTGATAGTGGTGGGGAGGGAGGCAGAAATTATATCCTCTTTCTTGCTTTGCTTCCTCTATTAAGAAAGCACTTTTTCTTGGTTAACAAATGCAGAATCCACTCTCTGACCCTAAAGATAGTCATGCATTTCAAGTAGTCTGAACGATTTGTTCTTTTTTTAAAACCTTTTTCCCCTTAATGATTATTGTTCCTGAGATTATTTATTTGGATGGGAAGATGAACATCTAGAGGACTGAAGGTTGTGCTAATGCCTTCTTACCCTCATTCCATTACTGTGTTCTGAGCAAAGCTCTGATTTGGAACCTCTCAGCTGACAGTTTATGTTATGCTAATCGAAATCTGTTTACTGGAAATGAAATTTGAATCGCCATAAGCTTGCTATCATTAATAAACTTAATTCTTTTTTTTTTTTTTTTCAGTTGGATTTCCAGTTTCCACTTCTAATATTGATGGTCTTGAAAGTGCATTTGGATCCAAGACATTTTCTGTCACTGAACAAATCAAGAGCCTCCTCTCCTATCTCAGAGCACTACAGACAGCTTAATATCATATGACATCATTTCTCCAAATTAAATGAAAAAAGAATTTTCTCTAACTTTCCATGAAGCTCAGCTATTGCCTGTTAATCTTGACTGTTAGCGCTGATCTTTCAATTGGATTTACACTGGAAAATGTAGCTTTTAATGGGACAGCTGCTTTTGGGTCTTTCAATACATCACTTCATACAGTGTCTCAAGCTTTAGTAAGTACTCCAGCACACCATGATATCATAGCCAAAGAGGGGGCCAGTATTTTAATTGAATGTAAACTGAACATCAGCCGGTATGAATATATTCTTTGGTATAACTCCAGAGGACACCTGCTTGAACAGAAAGATGAAGGTGAGCTTTCCTGCGGGTTTCTATCCTTCAGTATTCCCCTTTTGTACAGTATCTGAAAACCTCTGGGACTTTGTCATCATTTTCTTTTCCTATCCTCCCATTTTTACAGTTGGGAGATAAGGAGAGAGCAAGACAAAGCCCTTTGCCCTCTGGCATGTGGCATGTGAATTATACCTGACTTCTTCTGTCCTAGCCCATCCAGCCAGCTGTGGTGCCCCACAGAATCATTTCATTCGAGAGGCACTGCAGTATTCAATACAGAAGAAATCAGTCTGCATCCTACCAGATACTAACGGATGTTTTTATTTATTATTGCTCTGGTTTGTATTATATTTTTCCAAACACATGAATTAAACACAATTCTTTGCAGCTTGTGACCTTTTCCAGCTGGCAATCAGTGATTTAATTTTGTTACAGGATTTTTTAAAGCATGGGGTAACTTATTACATTTACTGTCTGGTTTATGCACCAGTGAGACCATGGAAACTAACGCAATTTGTAATGGCCAATGATGAAATACATGCTATTTAACCCTCTTGTACAGAGGGAGGATATATTTTCCTAGCCTTTGGCTCTTATAGTTCTGTCCCTGTAGTTTTTAATTTTCAAAAAATAATGTCTTTTAGAGATGCATGTGGTTTTCTCTTCTCTATTAGTATTAATGAAGGTCATTGAGCTAATTGATAGGATCTTCTCGGAGGCCATCTTTCTGCCTTAAGTATTCAGTAACCTCTTTGTAGTTAGAATGCCATCTGGATATTAGTTCAAAGTAGAGTAATTAGAAGAATGAGTTATGAAAACAGTTTTCACCCCAAGTTATAAACGCATAGGAAATACTGTATAAAGCCAGCTTCTTTTATTGATTTTTTTTTTTTTACATGGGTTTTGTGTATCAGCACTGCATGCTCAGCAGAAAACTGTGTCTCGGGAAAATCCTGTGTTCTTTTGCCAGCAGAGCCATTTACAGACTCTGATGTTTTTCATGGGTCACTTGACTTTTGACTCCGAACATATGGAAAATTAGACTTTATAGAGGACAGTCTTTCAACATAGTGTTACATAGTGGGTGAGAAGCGCTAGTTAAGAATTAGGTTCCCTGTCAGAAAGAGCTAGCAGTCCAAAAGCGCACAAGAAACTGCAGATGAGAGAAAGCAGTAGAACCAGAGCGGCGAGTGCGCAAAATAATTTACCATTAAGCAGTACGATTGGTACCTGGTTTATGGCTTTCTGTATCAGAAGCATGAAAAGGAAATTTCCATCCTTGGTGTACTGTTTGTATTCTTATGCTAGAAATGGACTGCCTACTTCCAAGTTCTGTCTCCTGTTGATGGAGCAAACAGCATGTGTCTAATTTACCCAGTGATTTTCTGTTTCACTAGCTGAGTTTATTTCTTTTGAATCTCCAGGTGGACGGTGGAGGATTGCTGATAATTCCCTTAACATCACAAAGGTCAACTTTGCTGACCGGGGGCGATATACGTGTGCAGCTGTTAATCGTAATGACACCTTGTATTACACAGTCACCCTGAGGGTTATCTTCACCTCAGGAGACATGAGTATCTACTACATGATTGTGTGCCTCGTTGCCTTTGCTATCACCCTCATTTTAAACATAACCCGTCTGTGCATGATGAGCAGTCACCTTCGCAAAACAGAGAAGGCTATCAATGAGTTCTTCAGGACGGAAGGGGCTGAGAAGCTTCAGAAGGCTTTTGAGATAGCCAAGCGTATCCCTATCATTACATCTGCCAAAACGCTAGAGTTGGCCAAAGTCACTCAGTTTAAGACCATGGAGTTTGCTCGGTACATTGAAGAGCTCGCCAGAAGCATTCCCCTTCCACCCCTGATCCTTAACTGCAGGGCATTCATGGAGGAGATCTTTGAGGCTGTGCGAGTTGACGATCCCGATGAAGTCGGTGAGGAGGAAAAACAGACCCAAGCCTGCAGTACCCAAGCTGCGATATACCCCATCAACCCAGAGATCAAGCGCAGCGATTCACCAGCCGGGGATTCAGACGATGGGTCCATGAATGAGCAAGGTCAAGAGATAGCCGTTCAGGTGTCCATCCACCCGCAGTCAGAAGTGCAGAGCATTGACACTGTTTCTCATGACAGCTGCCAGTTTGCACCTTCTGAGGAAGGCGCCTGCTGAGTCCAGCGATCCACTGTTGTGAAAGAATCACAGGTGACCCTAGGATACTGCGAGAAAGGGGTCTGCAAACAAGCTGCCTCAGTCCCATATGCACAAGTTTTCCAAATTGCAAAGTGCTGGAACTACTACTGAAATCTGTATTTTCTGTCAGTGTTGATCTAACGATTTCAAGTCTGTTAGAGAAGGCCATTTGGAGTATTGTGCAGTGGCTTTTCTTTTTAAAGCAAGCTTGCTATACTTAAAATATTTACGAAACAGGAATTCTTTGTCCTTGGCTCCTTGATCGCTTCTGATAGTTCTGTCTTAGAAGTGGCCAAGCTGAGCAGTACAACTTGCAATAAGATCTTTTCCTTTGTGAACTCTTTCTTCCTTCACAAAGTGAGTCGGAATTCCTTTGAGTCAGTGTTGTTGTCCTGATGAATTGAGTTGTGTGCTCTTTTTAAATTGCCTCTTGGTGCGTGTAGCCCATCAGAACCATGGTGAGCTTGAACAAATCTGTTTTGTGTCGTGTGCTTCTATGTTGCTATCAAAATGTACTGTATTTAGGAAAAAGAATAGTACCAGGATCTGCTGCTGGATTAAATGAATTGTTGTAGTTTCAAAGCAGCTTAGAGAACAACCAGGGGGTCTCAGTTTTCCATGCATCTGCAGAAAACTTGTGCATACTCCAGCAAATTGTTGTTAAAGAGCTTGTTGCTTAAACTTGGTGCTGATTGCCAAAGCGCCTTACCCTGGTTCTGTCTTACAGAGTGGAGCAGTGACAGCGCTGCTGGCACTGTCTTTCTTTTGACTTTGCTGATTTCACTCACTATAGAAAATCCAAAGTTTTATATTGTATTTGACATTGTTGTGAGAAAAGAATGACAGTAATCACATAGTGGCATGATTTAAAAATGAATTCTTCTACTGATCAAGTGTCTCAGGCACTTCTTTCTGAACAATGTTATAATAAAGAAGGTGAAAAGTAGTGACACTCACTTTGCTCTGGCTAGTACTTCTAGAAAGCAGTGGAAGAGAGAGTGGTTAGCGGAGGGGCTGGCTGAGCTGTTTGCCAGCCCCTGCTTACAGGAGCGGAGTAACTCGCTGAACGTGCCCTGTCTCATCCACTGAAGAGGAGTGGCAGAAGGGAGAGGTGCAGGTGCTGACAGACGTACACACATAAGTACTTGACCAAGGATCTCCCGCATGGCTTCCTCAGCTGTGGAGATCCAGCCTCGAGGAATCAGAGTGCAGACAAGGACATAGTTTCTTCTTTCACTCTTTGGTGCTGATATTTTTTCTCCTTAACATTTGTAAGTTGTATCACTTAAATAGCATTTTATATCCTGTTGAGATTTAGTAGATGTAAGGCTTGTAAGCACTCCACAAATTAATTTCTTACAACTACTGGAAGCATATTGCCATATAATTTTAACAACTTGGCAACAGGAGCACCACTTAATTTCCCACAACTCTTTTTTCTTTCCTTATTATTACAGAAATGTCAGTTGAACAAGTGATTCTGGATGGTTGCTCAGGATTCTTAAGAGGATTTGACATTACATTTACATGAGTAGAGATGGAAAACAAGCAGGCACAGTGGTAATAACAGGGTGGGGCCGTCTGTTGTAATGCATGCTCGTAACAAAGGGTCTGAACAAATCATATTTGTCGTATCATATCAGAAAATGGGAAACTGAAACATCTATTACCATTTTAAACTACCTTCTGGGGAAAGTTCTGCAGTCAGCCACCAGTAAATGCAGTCTGGTTGGCTTTGGCGTGTCAGATAAGAGGGGTGTTTGTCAGGAAGGAAGAAAATTGCCAGCCTTGGTTATAGTAGCATTCTCACCAGCTTGGTACCATTTTCAAGACCGTAGCAAATGTTATCTGCTTCAGGGGAATAAAGCCTGCTATAGACACAATAGCTACTGCCCTCAGCAGTAACTTCTTCTTAGCTTCCATAGTTTGATGGCACTTTATGTCCAGGTGAAAAGTTTGTATAGTTTTGTGTGACCTGTCTGGTTTCTTTTTGGAGTTATCAGTGTTAAAAGATACTCTTGTGGATAAACGCCTGGTTCGCTTAGAAGCCCTGCGAAGGTGCTGCTGGCTTCACTTCTGTACTACGAGTTCTGCAGGTTTGTTGCACATGCAAGAGTGGAGATTTGGGGGTTTGCGCCATTTTGGATGTCCTAGTTGAACGAAGAGAAGGCCACAAGAGAGGATGATCTGTTTTAATCTCCTCTGTGCTGCAGGCTGTCGGGGTTGTACCTGCACCTGCCTTTTTTCCCCATAAACAGCTCTCCGTGCTTCTGTGAAACTGTTGCATTATATGCAGCAGTAGCATCTTGGACATTTTGCCCTGAACTACGTACGCGATGTAGAGGTGCAGCTACAAAATCAAAGCTCCATTTCACTGCTTCCTAAGAAGCAGTTATGCAGTTGTGATTGACAGATGTCTCATCAGAAGCGGCAACTTACAGGCAGCAGAATGACACTAGAGGTGTGTCAGATGGGTGTCAGGAGAACAGTTTCTGATTAATTCAATCTGTTCTTTGATTTTTGTACTTTACTTACATAGCTCCGAGTTCTTACTAAGCACAGTTACTTGGTGTCTTCCTGTGCCCCATTGCTGGTGGAGAGGAAAGAAGGATCACACATAAAGGTCCTCAGAAATGCAGTTGCAGTGTCAATTGCTGGATAGTAAAGCTAAGAGTTTTGCTGAATTATTACAGTATTTTGCTCGCTAAATTAATTTCATTCCTGGGAAGGAGGCTGTTCTGTAAGGATTTCAGTATATCAGGAGTACTTATTAAATGTAGGAACTGATCCTACTCCCACTGAATTCAATTAGAGCAGATTTGAAGCTCTAGTGTATTTTACAAATGATATTACAGGATTTTTATGCATCTGAAAGCAAGGATGATGGTGATGTTATACTGTAAAGGTAATTTCCAGAGAACAAAACCTGACACTGGTTTCCAAACAACTTGTGAACTATTCTTGTTATCCCGAGTAGATGTGTGCACTTAAATTTGTTTGATGCGTCTATTGAACATTAACATTGAAAGATGATGTAAACACCAGTGTTTCTCTTTACTTTTTGTAGGACAAGGAGAGTCTACAGTGGATTCCTTGCTTTAAACTAAATTCTTTGACAATCAGAAGGCTATTTTTCTCTTCTTTGTGACTTGGTTTTATTTTGAATAATGTTAAATCTACTTGTTATCCAAGAGTACCTAAAACTAACTTTGTAGTGTTTATTTGTATGACTTGGATTGTAATGTAACTGTTTAATGTAACCACATAGGATTTCATACTTTCATAAAATGATAGATTTGCAAAATAAATTAAAAACAAATGCCTCGGTTTGTTGGAGTTTTCTCTTTTATCAGTAAGGGGTGCTGAGTAGCTGCCTATCCGAGGTTAAATAGCAGCTGTATTCAGCTAAGCAGAATGTTGTTAGCCAGCCTGACAAAGGTTGCTGGGATATTCAGTCACCTGATCGACCGCTCCTGCTATGACATCTTTGGGTCTGTCATTTTTGTAGGTCTCCCAGTCCCCAGCAGCGTCTGTAAGAATTGTTACCAGCTGCATAAACACGTGGTTACAGCCGTGAAGCGGTTTCAGGAAGGCCCGTGCATTCTCCTCGATTTCACTTTTGCAAGGGCGATCGTGAAGAGAAAAAAAAAACACCTGTATTTTCTGTTCCTACCTTTTTCACAGGATTGTACTATTCTATATTGTAATCACCTCTTTTTTTTTTTTTAATCCTCCCCAAAATCCAGTATATTTGGACACAACTTGCATCCTAAAAGGCAACACAGCACGAATGTGGAGTATCTAAAGCCTTCAAGTGACAAAGTCTGTGTCGCTGTTTTTCCAGTGAGTTGCTGAGATGGCATAAAGAGATTTCCTCTCCTGCGCCAAGGGAAGGATGTGGGCTGCTCTCAGTCTGCATCCCTCGAGCTGGAGGAGATGTAGGTCTGCCTTTACCCTTGCTCTTTGCTAGCCAGCAGTTTATTAAATTACATGGGGAAGGAAAAACATCCCCTGGAGTGCTGTGCTAAGCATACCGCGAGTGGGAAGGAGGGGGCCATCCCACCTCATTTTGGTGGCCAGGCTTGGGTTCCTGATCCCTTCGCAATCAATTCAGAGTATTAATTTTATTAATTTTTATTTTTATTATTATTATTGTTTGTCCTCTGCCAGGGGATGATCCGAAGCCCCTAAGCAAGGTGCTTACCTATCACTACTGGTTACACTGGGAAGCCGTATTTCCCATATGAGCATCTGGTATTGCATGATAACGGATGTCTTTGTATGGGCACGTCGTGCAGCTCTGGGTGCCAGTCAGGAGCACAGAGTAAAAGTGCCCCTAATTAAGTTTAAACTGCAATGCCCCCCGCCCCAAACACCAACAATCCAGCTTGCTGAGAAACCCTCTGATATAGTCAGTGGGGCTGTGCAAGTGTGAATGAGAGCAAACTTCACCCACGTTGTTTTTAAAGAATAGTCTCCGGTTGCCAGTCTCTCCACAAGGCAGGTAATAGAATTAAAGCTGAATCTCGGGGATTTTCCCATGAGAATCAGCTGCTTAAAGGAAGAATTATTGGACCCATACTCCTCAGGCTAGGTCAACGTTCAGTCAGCATCTGCTTTCTATCTCCATGTTACGAGATACGCATGAATGATAACAGTTCAGTTTCTTAAAGCTCCTGTAACCTGACTCTTCAGGATTCTATCCACAGCGAACAAATTCATCTCCATGAATTTAAAGCACTTTTGCATTTGGATAACAACAGCTCATTGAAAAGGGAGCTGCATTAAGGATGACTGTACTTCAATTTTAGGTGTGCTCCTTAAAAAATACAATTTTTCTTAATGTTGCAGCACTCCTGTCTCGTGAGTCAAGTCTCCTGCCGCAGACACGCAGTGGAGACACCACCATGTCGTTCAACTCAGGCAAGTTACAGCATTATCGACTTCCATTCAGCCAGGTCATTTCACACCAGCTGGGTCTCTCTCCTCTTCATTTTTTTTATTGTATAGCAGCTCATTCAGATGCCTCCAAATACTGCCAGCTTTTTTGCATGTGGAAGGGAGAATTACACCATCACTGCAGAAAAAAAAAATTGTTTTGCTAGATGTTCAAATATCCAAAAAGCCCAAAAAGCTGGAAAGTTGCGCTTTATCCCGGGTAAGACAGTGCCTGTTCTTTGGTCACGCCTGGCTGCCAATGATGGTAATAATACCGAGCAATTAGGCCTTTCATTTTCATTAGGCTAATTAATTGTTTGCACAGTGCCCTGAATATGGAATCGTTTTCCTTTGGAAAGAATAAAAGGATTAGAATGGCTTCATCCCAAGATGCTCAGAACGTATTTTATTTATTTTATGGGAGAAAAATCCTCTCGCGCCCCAAATGCAA